ATGAAGATGAAGATGAAGATGAAGATGAAGATGAAGATGAAGATGAAGATGAAGATGAAGATGAAGATGAAGATAAGGATAAAAATCATAACCCCTTAACTTTAACTCATCTTAACTTAAAAACTTACTCCACCTGAGCTCATCACACATTAATTCACCACACTTTAACTCCCCACACCTAAATTCACCACACCTCAACTCGCTACACCTTAACCCCCGCACCTAAATCCACCACCCCTAAATCCACCACCCTTAATTCACCACACCTCAACTTTCTCACCACACCTTAACTCACCTCAACTCACCACACCAAAATTCACCACACCTTAATTCACCACACCTCAACTTTCTCACCATAACTTAACTCACCACACCTGAATCCACCACACCTAAATTCACCACACCGTAACTCCTACACCCAATTCCACCACACCGCAGCTCACCACACCCAATTTCACCACATGACATGATATCACTTGATGTGGCATCAAAGGCAACATCATTTGGCATAAAATGAACCAAAATAAATAAGATTTAGATAGAGGTGAAAAAAGGGATAAAAAAGAAATACAACTGAAGTGTGTGCGATGTTATATTGTGGTGTGTTATGCTTCATATGTTATGTTATTTATTCTTATGTTATGGTTGTGTTATGTTATACCAAGTACTAAGCTAAACTCCCCTCCACTTAACCCATTCCAACTAATGTTATTTTAGCTCATTCAACTTACATAAACTATTCTTAATTTTATCGGTTGAATTTCAACCGCTGGGCGAACACTAGTAAATATAAATATCCATTAGGTTTTCGGAAACGGCTCCAACAATTTTAATGAAATTTTGTAAACTGATAATGTTTTGCACTTAAAGGTTATCTAAATATCTCCGAGAGGACTCGTATAAGGTTGCCACCTATTCGAAATTAGTTACAAATTAATTAAAACATCATCGTGTGGCTATCAAATGGAAAGTATTTAAAAAATCCCCAATCCAAAAATATTTTTAATAGTGTTGCCACCTATTTTTAAAAGCATATATTTCTTTTTTTTAGTTTAGAAAATAAGGGCTCAATATCACTATTCATGGTTAAGGTTCTTAAACAATGCTTTCCCTATGTGCTGAGTGTTATCCCTTAGGATATTAGTGTAAGGTTGCCACTTATTTTCGATTCTACACAATTTATCTAAAACATCGCAACATGAATATTAAATTAAAGGTATTGGTGAGAACTTTGGTGCGGAAATGTTTTCGATCAGAGTTGCCACGCTACTATGTAATACAAATTTTTATTTTGTTAATTTCAATCAGCACTTTTTTATGTATTCATTTCAGCGTATTTCTAAATAGGGTTGCCACTCAAATTGTAAAGAAAGAAAGATACTTTTTAGATATCAAGAGCCATTTTTGTTTTTAATTTATGTGAAGTGACTTTCGGTATTGGAACATAAGTACGTCACTGTTTTTAGTTTTAGCTTTAAATGGTTGAAGGGCTTTGCCGAACTGGGATTTAACAATAAAAAATCCCGTTCAATAAATCATGAAGGAAGACCATAAAAAATGGGAAGGCTTTGGGGGCATTGGAATGCAATATATTTCGTGTCTTTTTCGCGTTGGTGACGGGTACAGAAGAAGTTCGGATCATTTCGGTTGGTTGACAAATGTCAAATGGCAAAGAAACGAGTAGCTCTTATAGTTCATTTACACCAAGCCGTAACTGCAATTTGTGTCTATTAGAAAAAAGGAGATCACAGCTTAAAGGGAGTAATTGCTGATATTTAGTACAAGCAACCTAAAGTCAAAAAGCAAAAGACAAGCCTTTCCGATCCCTCCATGTTAAAATAATTGGAACTTACCTCAGCTCTTAACTGCAGTTAAGCTTTTAGTAGAAACAGGCAATTCATACTTACTGGCATGGCTCTCAATATCTTATAAACTGTTCCCTTGATACCTTTATCAGCTAAAATTTAATTAAAGCGTCATTGCCACGATTTCTAAATAACTCACAAAAATCTTAAATGCTTATCATATTTTCCGGATTCGAGCAATTGC